GAAGGTCGAAGAGTAAATGCAGAAATAAAAAAAGATCAAAAGAATGTGGAAAAATGTTGTCACTTGTTTTGAGTGCTGTGCAAAAGTCTTGAGCTGTTCAAGGTGGAAGCAAGAGAGCTGTTAACCATATCCTCCAAAAGCACCGTATTTACTTATTTATTTGTTTATTTGGTAATTTGAGAAACAAGAAACTACCAGATTTTGGTAACGACACTCTTCCGTTTTTAGTCTGTACCTCCAATTATGATATTCAAATTAGCTGCTGTGCTGTCCCTTATTTTCCTGCTGTAGGTTTTAACAACTGGTATTCATGTAGGTCAGGATTTTACAACGACACTTAACAAGATGAATTCAAAGGAGATCACAAAGGATTAGCCCCTAATACACCACACTTCTTAGTTTTTTTGTGTTTTTCTCCAACGAACAATAAACGAAGTCTTCAGTCTAGAAGCTCAGAGCTGTGGATCTCCTGCCTGTTAATCTGTGGACACAGAAGCTGTAACGATGGCGTTTTAATGAGTGTTTTACGCTTTCGTGGTTTCTCTAATGTCTCACCACTGCAGATCCAGAAAATGAAGTTTGTGCTGTCTGACAGGTGAAACAATGCAGACCCAAAACTATCTGTGCAAAGGTTGAGCTGATGGAAAATCGACGTTTGAGTGCGAGAATCTCTGAGGTGCTGTGTGTCAGGAGGCGAGGTGCCGGCATGTAACAGTGCTGAAATTAGATTTTTCTGGCAGTTGAGCGGCAGCGACTCTTTGCAGGTGGTTAATAAAAGAAAAAACGCTTTCTCTCCATTAAAAATCAACTTAGCATTGATTTACAGTGGTGAGGGGCTGGATGATGGAGGGACGGATCACACAGAGAGAAGGAGGATAAACACCACAGCAGAGCAGAAGACCGCTAAAGGCTGTACACAAAGATATTACTTCATACAAGCATGGTCAGTCGGAATTCAGAGGCACATTAAAGCTATTTGGGGCAATTTTTCCATCATTTGACCATTAAAGTGACAACAAACTGAAAAAGATCAATCGCACGATCAATCCCTCAGTCACAAAGTGACAAAACCCACAAAAAGAAACCAAAACATGAAATCGATTTTCTTTGCAGCGTTGGATCTGTTTGTCCATCTCGTATCCATCTGTTTGATGACCCACATGTGCAAAGATTTTTCTTTTTTCTCTAACGGTTTTCAAAACCAGAAATAAGGAGCAGGGGTTACCAAAATCACTATCTGAGTTTTGAGCAACATTTTGCTATAAACCAAAGCATCAGACACAGTTAATCTTTAGGATGATTACGGCACTACGTTACATCTCGAAGACTGCCAAAGTTACCAAAACTCAGAAAATCATCTTTACACATAAACACACACCAAACGTGGATTAAACAGCAGTAAAATTAGTCCTGAACAAATGTTGATAAAAGCGCAGAGAGCAGCTGCTGTTACTGAGTCTGTTTGTTTCAGCAGACAGATGTTTGGTGTTATTGGATTAAATACAATTAAAAAAACCAAGCAGAGCGTCGTCAGATTTCCTTCAAAGTTTCCATAAGAGTTGAGAAAAAAGTCTTTCCAGCCATTATCTCACCCTGTCCGTCTCTAAATGTCTCAGATTTAAAACCGTCGCCGCTCCCTGCAGTGCAGTTTATTAACAGACCCGAGGATAACTTTTAATTCAGTTAAACGTTCATAATGTAATAAAAAATCTGCATGTGAGCTGACAGTTAATGAAATACGATATTAATGAAGCTTTTAAGTGCTTAAGGAACAGGCCGCTGTTCTTCAAAGGTGTCTGTGGACAGCCGACATCATCCTGCCACGATTTAAAACTTATCACAGCAGCTAAGAGCTGGCGGTTACGCTTCAGATGTACTAAGTTCAACCACGCACCACAAGTTTCAATGAAATGTACATAGCACTTTCTATTTCCTACAGAGAAATTGCAAAGAAAGTCAAGGTAACACTGAGTAGTTTTCTTCACTATCAAAAGGCACTCAGAAACCGGGGCATACTGACAGGATGAGGTCTGGCAGACCCAAAGCCACAGCTGAATCATGGGACACGTTTCTGAGAGTTAACAGCTTGCATGATAGGCGGTTAACAGGATAACAGCTTCAAACACAGCTTAATAGTGGTCGTAGCAAGTCTCAGTTTCAACTATGAAGAGAAGACTTCTTGCTGCAGGTTTTACGGGACGAGTTGCAGCAAGAAAGCCATCGCTAAGATGTCAGAATATTACAAAGAGGCTTGGCCGGGTCATGAAACGCTGCCATTGGACGACTGAAGACTGGAAGGCGGGATCAAAATTTGAAATGTTCAGTTTGTAACGCAGGATCTTTGTGTGCCGTTGAGTAGGTGAAAGGATGGTTTCACAGTGTGTGGCATTAACTGGCAAACATGGAGGAGGAAGTGTGATGGTCTGGGGCTGTTTTGCTGGATCCAGGGTGGGTGACTTGTACAGAGTGAGAGGTGCCATGAACCAAAACGGCTCCCACAGCATTCTGCAGCACTATGCAATAGTCTCTGGTATACACGTAGTTGGTCAGGGATTCATCCTACAGCAAGATAATGACCCAAGTCCAAGCTATGCCAGAGTTACCTCAGGAAAAAAGAACAAGATGGTAAGCTTGAAAACACAAAGTGGCCACAGTCTCCAGGCTTTAACCCCATCGAGCTGGTTTGGGATGAACTGGACAGAAGAGTGAAAGCAAAGTAGCTGTTACACTACAAAGCGACAGAAGAAGAAAAAGAGGCTCCACCCTTCTTCTCTCACCACAGATGTCTCTATACGCTCACTTTCCTGCAGTCACGTGTACGGCTGGTAGTTATATCATGGCTTCAGTCTGTGTCAGCTTTCAGAGTTTATATTCTTGATCCATTTCAGGTGTTTTAGTGCAAATCAAAGTGACAACAGGTGCTCTGGAGAGGCACAGCAACACAAACCCCCAAATAGGGAATGGTTCTGCAGGAGATGGACACGGACTGCCGCTCTCTCCTTATCGCTTCTTGCTAGTTCTGCTTTTTGTTAGTGTCCTTGTTGCTGTTTGTGGCAATGAGACTGTCTGAGCATGCTCCTGATTTCCTCCTCCCAGATTGGATCAGGAGCTCAGTGGGCTCCTGGGACAGTCTGAATCAGATAGACAGATAGGGATTTTTTTGGTTGTCTGTCCTATTGTGGCCTTTTTGTTTGTTTCTTAGGTGGTATTTAGGGCTATATTTGAGTGGCACAGTTGCCTAACAGCAAAAAGGTTCTGGATTTGAATCTGCTGACCCGCTGAGGCCTTTGAGGGAGGAGTTTGCATGCATACCAATCTAACCGAGTAACTCATTGGTAATTAAAGAGCTTCATGCGTTATAAAAAAATCCAAATGAAGCATGAAAATCTGTGTATGAGTATTACTCTGTGTCCCCTCCAGCCTCCACATATGGACTTTTTCACTTTAAAAGATGAAAAACACACACTCCACAGACGCCTCACCTTACCCTTCTCCCTGTGACAGCTGTGACAGGCTATAAGTGGTTAAACAATGGATGTTTACTAATCAGATTTCATATTTATTCTATTTTAGTGACACAGTTTACGATTGAGGTGATTGCTAACACTGTTGTTTATGTTTAATTCCTGTCTCATATTTTATTGGGTATAATTTGGCTTCAGTCCTCTGTTTTGCATGCTTAAGGTTACCCTGCGTTAACCCCAAGCTGAGGTTGTTAAAAAGTACCTGAATAACTTTCTACTTTTAACAGAGAAAGTTAAAGAAGGCTGCAGAGAACAGCTTAAACTTGAGGCATCACGACCCTTTACAAAAAGAACGATTCCACTTAAAAAAAGAAAGCAGAAAATCACATTATACACCGGCAGGCTCCAGCTCCCTCTGATAAAAATTATACATCTGTAATGAAAATTATGACTCTCGGTTTGAATCCAGCGGCTCAAAGAATGGCAGCTCAGTCTGAGTGAGGATAAGACAGTCACACATTATCACTCTGAAATGATTGTTCCCACATTCCTGCAGCCGGGACTTTGAAATGACTGAACGCTGACTTTCCCGCTGTACCTGTTTGCAAACCCGGGTCCTGAAATTTAAATTCTGCCTCACCATCACTCCAAAACTGAAACACGTGCTGCCCGTGGTCTGTGTTCCTGTTCTGTTGTTCAGCTGAATGTCGTAAAAAATCGTATTTTTAACAGTCAAATCAGTCGTGAAGATCAGCTTTTACAAAACTGCAGCTGGTTTTAGCTTTAACTTTAACTTTAACGGCCCTTTAATGACTTCTCAGCTGAACTGCGGTGACCCTTTTATGTTCAGTTTGTCCAAATCCACTCAGAAATCACAATTCACCTACTACACATCACGCAGTGGTCACTGCACTGGCTATCAATGAAATTTTCCCTCCATGAATCGACTCCACAGCCTCTCAAATAATCTGCCAACCTGCACAAAGTTCAGTAATCGACCGTTTGAAATCCTATTTAATACTCGTCCTGTTTTCATTCGCTGAGTCTGAGATGTCTTGTCCACCGTTTCTTTCTGTTTTTTCAGTTTGTTGTTTTTATTTGCAGTCGTTTTGTATTAAAACCTATTATTAGCTTTAACCTAAGGTTTTATTTGATTTCATTCATTTATTTGTTTCCTTCAGTTTTGCTTAACTCCTTTTTTCTTTAAACAACCCCAGCCCTAAAATGTTTGGGACACTGTTTGTGTGTTCTGTTACTTCCTGTCTTATTTTGAAAGTCCCTCATCTCATGTGCTTTTTGAGTTAACTCTTTGTCTCTAGAGTTTTGCATTTCAGGTCCTAAATCTCCTTGATTCACAGTGTAATAAGTAATATGGAGGGACAGACTGAGACTGTCATTATATGCTGATGATGTGATTGTGTTTACTGTAAAATTATAGAAATAATAAATTGTGATTTCTGCTCTGTGTTCTTTGTAACACTTTATAGACCAAACTGTGGACCTGCTGATACACAGTCCGCATACATCGTCATTTACCTGCACACGGCTCCGTATCCGGGAACTATGTGGCACTCTCCTCCTTGGCAGTAGTTTGGCTGGAGGACACACAGGCTCTGGCAGGGCAGGCCGTCCACTGACACGAAGCCCAACTGGCACTGACACTCCGCCTCCTTCGTCCAGGCGTTCACCATGCAGCGAGAAAACTCACCGCAGGCCTGGAACTTGCAGGGATCGGCCTGATCAGCTGCAAGGAGAGGAAGGCAGAAAAATGTGGACACATTAGTATTCAGGAGGAGTTTCCCGCGCCTTCCTCTAACCACCCTACTCTCTCCGGGAGGTGCTGAGGAGTGTTTGATTTTAATGAGATCCTCTCCTCCTGCTCTGCACTGAAATGTAAGGTTTAGCCCGAGCCGTGGACGGCCTCCGAGACTAAACGTCAGATTCACTCCGGGGAAATTAGCATGTGTGCAGGGTGTCACGGATGAGAAGTACGTCATGTTGTGAAGCCACAGCACGTGGTCAGTATCTGTAATCCAAACATACATCAGCAAGTATGTGTGTTTGAATCAGGGCTTCTGCTGGGGGTCTACAGCCTTCATGTCCTGGAGAGTTTCTGTTTATTTATACTGTATATATCAGTGTATGCCAGCTAGAACAGAAACAGCTGCTTTTACATCATGACTTGGAATAAATAGCCATATTTAATCTGTGTATGTAAAATGTCCCTCTTACTACTTTTCTTAGACTGTGTAACTTGCATATTTGAGGAATCTATCAAACATATCGCTGCACAGTTTTTGGGAGATTGATTGTAACCTTCAAATCAACTACAAGAGAATTTAAGGTTTTATAAACCTGCATTTACCTGTGTTTTTACAGTGTATGTAGTGCTTTATAGCCTCTTTTAGTTCAAAATCTAGTCTTGCCAGCCACTTTATTAGGTATCCCTTGCTGGGGAACACTCCTCAGAGATGTTGGTCCATACTGATGTGATAAAAATCACACAGCTTCTGCAGCTTTGTTCACAACAAACGAGTGTTTCAGCGAAAACCTGATTCCCAATCAGGATTTTGCTGAAACACACACACGCTCGCCTCGAGACAGAAGATGTTGCAGCAGCACTTCTCCTCTCTGCAGCTCACTTCTCATCTTCATCACCATTATTCGGGCCCTATAATGTTCTCTACGATCCCACCGTGTGCCGTTGGATTTGACATATAGACCTAATTACCAAGTCTGTTTGAATGTTTGTGATCTCTGCTCCCTGCCTCAGACTCATCTGTGGAGAATATTACATCACAAAGCTTTTAGAGTGTGAACTGCATACAGAGGAGCGCTGCTGATACAACAAATGTGAATTATTCTAAGATGCCTGTTCATATCTCATACATAAAAAGAAATCCTGACATCATAAAACACCACCGCACTGCAGCTAACAAAAGAAACGGCATGTTGGCTTTTTAATCTTTCATGTTAAGGAATAAAAACACCATCGCATGCAAAAAGGACTCTTAGATATTCAGTTGAACAACAGTAGAATCCGCACTGAGCCAGAGCTTGCTTTAATCACTGCTAACATCGGCCAAAACAAACTGTCTTCCTGTGTTATATTACTCTATTATATAAACTGCTACGGACTCGTTGAGGCATGCACTCCACTCTACTCCTGAAGGTGCGCCGTGGGATCTACACCCAGATGTAAGCAACAGAAAAGTCCTCTAAGCTACGAGGTGGGGGCTCCATGGATGGGACTTGTTTGTCCAGAATATCCCACAGATGCTCGATTGGACTGAGATCTGAGAAATCTGGAAGCCAAGTCAACACCTCAAACTGTTCCTGAACTATTTCTGGTTTGTGGCACAGCCATCAGGGAGTACTTTTTCCATGAAAAGGTGTACATGGTCTGCAACACCGCTAAGGTAGATGTTACATGTCAAAGTGACGTCCATGTGTACGGCAGGACCCAAGGTTTCCCAGCAGAACACGGTGGATGGGGCCAGTGTGGGAACCCTCGCTGTCTGCAGTGCCAGATGTTCTGTGTATTCTGACATCTGTCTATCAGAACCAGCTTAAATGTTTTTTGCAATTTGAGCTAAAGTAGCCACACGGGCCGGGCTTCGTTCCCCACATGCATCAGTGAGCCTCAGCCGCCCATGACAACTGTTTGTTCGTTGGACCACTTGGATAGATACTGACCCCTGCATACCGGGAACACCCAACGAGAGCTGCAGGTGTAGAGACGCTCTGAACAGCTTGGCCCTTGTCAAACTGTGATGGCAATCTTTACACTCGCTCATTTTACCTGCTTCTAACAAATCAACTTTGAGAACAAAATGTTGACTTGCTCCCGCCCGCTAACAGGTGAAGAAATAATCACTGTTATTCACCTCACCTGTCACTGCTCACAACAAGTTCACATTCAGACTCTGATCAGAAAGCACTTCGGTTTGGGGCAGAAAAAGCTCAGCATACCTCCAAACCCAGTAGCGTTTCGCGTACCTGGTTCGATGTCCAGAGAGTGGGTGTCAATCTGGATGTGCAGCTTCTTGGCGGCAGAGGTGCAAAACTCCTCCAGGATGCAGTGGACCGCCTCGGTGATGTTGTATGGCACTGACTTGGCGAACTTCATCTTGCTGTTGACGACCACGCTGCCCTTCCTGAAGTTGAGGATCTCCAGTTTTTTGAAACCCGTCAGGTTGGCCTGCAGGAACGGCAGCAGCTGCAGAAGAAGAAGCAGAGAGTGACGCGGCCTGAGAGGCCATAGGGGAGTCTGACTGTTTGATATAATTTGATATTAACAACCAAGTGCTGAGTTTTAATAATTGAAATGACTCATCTGTTGTACATGAGAAGCTGCACACACACACACACACACACACACACACACACAAAGGGAAAATTACACATTTTCTCTGAGCTCTTTGGAGAATCTGCACAAAACAAAACTGAAGGAAAAACAGAAGAAAATTGATGTAAATGTAGTTTGGGCCGATTAAACTGTCTCATCATGAATTCTGTCTAAACTGAGTGAATTCATAAATAACTTGATGCCTCTCTGCTCACATAACTCACATCTTTTATGCCCATGAAGCCAGAGCCTTGGCTGAATTGATGCACCCAGTCTAATTTTATCCAGAGTATTGTGTGAATGTCTGGAATTTCTTTCTACAAATCAATACATTCATCTACGTTTCCTCCTCCTGCTCGAGCAATTCTTGCAATGCCTGAACTCACACTGAAGATTTATATTGTAATTCAGAAGCTGCAAAGACTACAGAACGCCTTTTAAATCACACAAACATCTCTCTGAGGAAGAAACCATCCCACTGTTTGAGTCAATCTGCTGTCAGCAGACACAGCGGATTGACTCATAATTTTAAACTTTAATGTGATATGGATGAACTGTGTCTTTAAACCAGAAAGTAATCAGAGGATTTATCCGGGTTTTTTCTAGTTAAATCCCAGTTTTTGTGCCCCAAATTGATTGGCTTATTCTTCTTAATAGGATTACAGCCCTGTTCTTTTCTCCTTTCAGTTTAAGTCAGTACTTCTTCTTCAATCCCATTTATCTTCAATTCACTTTAAAGTCGATCCTTTGGTGCAATTAATTATAGAAATTACATGTAAATTTTTACATGTAACATGGTTTATTCAATAACTTTGCATTAGTATGAACATCTGTACTGGAAGCCGTTTCCTCTCATGCATTTATTTGTAAATGATTCGCACAAAAAGCATCCACCTCATAAAAAGAGAAGAATGGCTTTCACCGCATTTAGCCTGACGAGCTGCTTTCCATCTGTTATCAACCAGACAGCAATCGCTTCTATTATTTATAGTACAGCTAACAGCGGCGGTGTTGAAGGGAGGCATATACTTGGAGCTGACTATCTTATTTGTTCACATCTTACCGTTTCTGAGAACCTTTAGAAATGCAGTGACCTACATCTGTTTGGTGTTGATCGCGTTGCCTCAAAGAAAGGAACAGCCTGTTCTGTCTTCCTCCCCACACAGCAGATAGCCAAAGATTCTTCCTGTTAAAAGGGAGTTTTTCCTTCCCACTGTCATCAGTGATTTGAATTGATTATCTATGCAATGAGTTTACAAAGTTTACTTTAGTCTCTATCAGTGATTCTAAATATTTTTCCTCATTCATCAATTTGAACTATTTTACGAATTTTTAAAATGTATTTTTATCACATTTTTATTATTATATCATAAATTTCAGTTTAAAACAAATATTTTTGAACCTTAAATTAAACCCATGAGAGAGAGACAGTGATATATCACTGATAGAAAAAAAACCACAAGGTTTTACTCTTTAAAGTCGGGTTAAATCCCCACAAGTCCAGTTTACCGAACATGCTTGTTTCTTCCTTCATTACACAAATATTTATGGTCCTTTTTGCATGTGTGTGTAAAATGTGTCCGGAAATAATAAGTACATTTATAAGTGCCGCTGGCAGCGAGTGCCACTGATGAGATATTGCTTTTTACAGAGGAGATGCAGTAAAGCAGCACACTTCGTTTCAGTCATCACTCCTCTTCATGTATTCCTCCTGTCATTGAGTTTTTTTGAGAGCATCCTCACCTTAAATGAGACACTGTGTCGACAAATTAGTATCTCTGAAAATGAAGTTCAACTCACTCACACACACACACGATCTGCTGAGTCAAACTAAAAGAGAACAAATAGAAACACTCAACAGTTTTGTTTCTCTAATTTGCATTGACCGGACATAATTACCTCTATTGATGCAGTTTAAACTGTTCAGCAGACGAAGAGTAAAATCTATTCAGAAAACGTGGGTCCCCAAAAGGATTTAAAGTGCTTTCTTTACCAGGCAGTAACTGTAGGCCTGAGTCTGTATTTCTATTCATGTGATAATTACTGCGTCTTGCAGGGCTTGAATTAATTTTTCACCGCCAGCAGCAGAGCGAGGACACACAGGAAACGACTTAAAGGCTGCTGGTTCAATTCCTCGAGTTAAACACAAATAAAAAGCTTTTCTGTGTTTTTCGACTCATATATTACCCAAATCTCTCCATTTTCCTGCCTGCCCCTCTTTTAATTAGCCGATATTGCTGATAACGCAAACTCAGCATTTCTGCAAACTCAGTGGTTTCCTTCCAAGTTTCCCAATTAAACAAAAAAGAACAGTAACTCCAGTCTATTCACCTTTGCCACTCTTTCAAACATTGTAAACCACTGACACTCATTAAAAGCCTCAGCTTGCAGGCTGCTCTTCCTGTAAGGCTTTTAATGTGAAAAATCGGCAGGAAGTGCTTACTCATCGCTGAAAGGTATGTCTATGACTGCTAAATATTTGAATAGTCACTCAACCTTATGTGAAATATTTGCACCTTTAGTTACACTGGGCAGTTTTTAGCTCTGGATTCTAATTGGCTGCTGCACAAACATCACTTGCTGCAGCTCCATATTAGTATGTAAATGCCTCCAGGCTTGAACGCGATACTTTGAAATGTCGGTACGTAACGGTCACCAAAATGATCACTTGCAGCAGGAATTAGTTTAGGGTAGAGTGTTAATCACTGATGGATCCAAATGAGAAAAATAAGAAAGGTAAAGAAAGATGTGAGCGCCCTGCAGAGAGTTAAGGTTGATAAAACTGTCTGAATGCTAAGAAATCCAGATAGAGCTCCCACTTCTTCAGACATTATTTGATCTGAAATCTCAGCTGAAGGACACTGACGGCAGGCGATAATCTGCAAATAAAACTGCAGTAAGTAGGAGGCACGTTTCATCTTTAGATTAGTATTTCAGGCAGAGGACTCGCACCTGCATCATCCATTTACCATTATATTCCCCCGGCGTGTTCTTCCTGCCTCATTAATCCAGCAGAGTCATTGTTCAGAGAGAAATAAGGGCTGTATTGTACCTGCCTGAGCTTGAAATTATTCTCTCGCTTCATCCAAAACATCAAAACATATCCATTCACCGCACAACAACCTGCAGCTCCGACGCTGAGGGCTCCAGGAGGACTCGGAATGAAAACAGCTTGTGTTATTAATTGTGTCTGGCTTTCTGTTTTACCCATCAAGTCATAGAAGTATGAGGTATCGCACTCACCAGGCACTGTGGCACTGATACGCTCTAAATATCCCTATTAATATGAATATTTTAATCAAAGAAGGAAAAATAGCTCACTGGCATCAAAGCGGGATGAAACCAGCTCCAATTAGGTCTCAGTTTGGGGAATATGTTCTCCTCTCCTCTTATAATAATGTATGAAATGACATGAAAGGAGTCTCTGGTGCTGATGGAGCCACACATGATTATGATCCGAGTCTGTAGCTCCCCTCAGCTCTCAGGCTACAGCTTCATGCTGTGATGCTCTGTTGTTTGTGGCTGCACCCAAATATTAAAGAGTTTGAATTTTTCTGCATTCACCAGGTGCTCAGTTTTCGATTTTAGAATTGGATAATTGCCTCTTCTTTTTTAATGTGGTGATATAAACCAAATATATCGGCTCTGCCAAAGAGAAGAAAATATCTATGGACCCACGTTTAACGAGGAAAAAAAAAAAAAAAAAA